CCCCAAAACCCCAAAACCCCAAAACCCCTTAAGATCGAAGAAGGTTGAACTAAATTTTTTTATTTATCTCAATTGGACTATTCTCACCTTCTGATTTGGGAGTTTGGGAAGGAACCACAATATTGGAAGCTAGATTTAATGACAACTTTGAAGGCCTAAACTCTGAGGGAGATTTCTTAGGAGAGTGCTGAGGATAGTTGACAAATTTTCTAAGGAGCTGATACTGTTTCTCTTGCGCGCTGATTATTTCTTTCATTGCTCCCCTCATTTCTGTCTTATTACGAACCCTTGGGCTGAAATTCAGAGAAGAGTGTAATGAAGGAAGATTTGAAACTCCATGAGGAATATTGCTTTTCAAGGAGTTATTTTGAAGTATTTGGATTGTAAACAGACTTGTTATGATGTGAAAAATTAGTCCTCTTTGTTCTCTTTTGTGGATTTGTAGATTTTGAAATACTTGAAGTTCTCATTTTAATGTTCTTTACATTTATTGAGCTTTTCCTCATATGTTCTGTACTTGGAGATTTTAATATCTCTTCTCCAAAATGTATGCTTTCAAATCCACGTACCTTCTTTGCTTCTAAAATAGAATAATACTCATTAAGCATTGACCTATACAGCTCTTGATTTCTTTGAAGCTCTCTTTCATGACTCTCGACCTCTTTCCAAGCCTGCTTCATCTCAGATATTACTTGGTTTCTGAAACTACTGAAGTCGTCTTTAACTTGGTCGACTTCTAGTGAAGTTAGTTCTGAAAGTTTCTTAAACATTTCTCTCATTTTTTCGATATCTTTGCCTAGACCTTTTATATTGTATTCTAATCTATCTTTAGAAAGGCTTTGAGCTAGTTCTGTTTTTATCTGCTCCTTGCCCTCTCCAATAGTGATCCTGCTGCTAATATGCTTACTGATCCTTTCAAGGTCTCGAGCTGAGGCAGTTGCATCTGGATATTTCTCTTTAGCAAATCTCTTTAGAACTAGGTCATGATTCTTATCAATCTTTTGTGTCAATTCTTGTATCTTATGTGAAATTTTGTTCTTAAACTTATTGAAATTCTTGAGGTTTGTCTCATGACCTCCTTGAACCTTATCTTCGAGAGAAATCATGTCGTTAGCGATAGCAAGTTTGAAACCATCAATATCCTTTGGAATTTGAGAAGTAAGTTTTTCATTAAGAGACGTTAGTAATCCCTCTGTAGTTGACAGCTTCCGTTCTAGCTCTGAGATCTTTCTTAGAGCATTAGAGAGTGATTTATTTAAACTTGCAACTCCCACTGCACTTCTTTTGGTTGACCTGAGACTCTTATTCATTTGTTTTGATATCGAAGATTCAGAAGGTCCTTCTGAAGGAGCCTTTTCAGGTATTTTCTCTGGAGTACCTTCCTGTTCTCTACCTAACGCTTCTGGTATAACGTTTATAGAGGAAGATTTCTTCTTATAAGGAGTTTGAAATGTGTTAACTAAAGTCTTTTCAGGAGTTTGATTGCACTGTTGAGACTTACGGGGATCTGGACTAATTGTCCTTGATTTTATGATTTCTGAAACCTCATTTTTCTCAGCATTATCAGTATTCTCAACTGGTTGAGGCTTTTTTTTAGCCTCTTTCTTCATATCAAGTTGATCTTTTATTCCAGGAGGAGGCTTCTTCATAAGAGTCAAATTTTCAGTGGATCCAGATATCTCAAAAGTAGGCTTTTCTTCTTTAGGCTGTTTCTTAGAATGTTTTGTCTCTTCATTAATGCTATCTTCCTGTTCAGGAAGCTTTCCTTGAATACTTTTGGGTTCCTTTTTGAATTTGCTTTGGTCAAACATTGAGATCTGTTTGGGCTCTTTTACTCTTACTTCAGGAGAGTTTTGAATTAAGTTTTGATCTTTCGAGTCTTCTTCAGTGTATTTGAAATCGATTTTCATCATTTTATTCTTATTGGATTCGGGTGAGATGGGAGGTCTTGAGGATTTTGAGTTTGCATGAGACTGAATTGGCTTAGTTTGATTATCTGGCTGGATTCGATAGTTTGCCTTATTCGAGATGATAAACTGATTTTGATGGTTTGGTTGGTTTTGATTGTCTAAGTAATTTTCTTCTTGATTTTTCTCTTTATGAAGGGTATCTTCACTGATTTTCTTTTGAATTTCATTATTCAAATTAGCCTCCTCTTCTAAATCAAAATAATCCCTACAAAGATTACTCTTTTCCTCTCCAAATTCCTCAGATCCATCACTCAAACTTTCATCTACAAAGCCCTGTAGTTCATCCTCACACTGCCCTATTCTCTCCTGCATTTCCTTATATCTTCGTTCATTAATTTCCTTAAACTCTTCAAACTGGTTAACCAACTTTTCTCTATATCAATCTGTAATCTCTGATTTATTCCCCTCAAGCTGATCCCATACTTACACAAAATTAGACCAAAAGTCATCTGTAATCTTCTGTAATGTATTCTCAACTTCCCTTATCTGAGACATTGTGAACTTATTCGCCGCCTCAGTTTTTGCCTCTACAAGGTATATTGAAGCTTTGTTGTCAAGTTGTGCGGTAAGGAAAGATTTGGACACGTAGTCTTGCAAAGTGGATTCTATGGGGGTTGAATGGTGTTCCATTCCTTCTCTTGTTTGGTTTATTCGAACAGTTGGGTCATTGATTTGCTATATATGGGGGTAGTGAGAGATAATTTTACCGTTTTTATTGCAGCCTGCATCATATCGTAAGTAATACTTTCCATTCGAAGAGTGCTCTCCATACTTTCTAATTTATTTTTGATATCTCTTATCTAGGTCAGTGATTTTCTTTGATAACTTTTTAAGCTTATCTCTCATGTCAAGGCTATCCGTTATCATTGTATTTGATCTATAAATTTAATTATATTCAATTTATTGTTCATATTTAGGGGTTTTGGGGTTTTGGGGTTTTGGGGTTTTGGGGTTTTGGGG